CACTAAATTTAAGTCTTGCTAACTCAAACTTTCAATTTAGTAGAACATACGTAGAATATTTAAGTAAAATCAAATACATAAGAACTTTAAGTAATTTCAGCTTGTATTAATTTAGTAATTTTAACTCAAAATCAGAAATTATACGTATTACTCAAACAATTTATGTTGATTATTCTTATCTTTTTAAAGTAAGGACTAAAAGGCTTAGTCTAAGCATCACTCAATTTCCTTAGGCAGTAGATTAATTATAGATATGTTTTATCCCACAATGCACCACGTTTGAATGCTCGCACTATAAATAAAGGCGTGGTCTTATGACTTGCTGGGTCTAAATTCCCGGACGCGCATTTGCGGGTGTTCTCATCGCATTGTGTCTTCGCTAGTGAGATTTTCTTCGTTTGATGTGTGAACAAGTAAGATTCTGATCGCGATAAGGTTCCCTTAAGCTTGACAATTGTGGAATTCCAACCTTAATATAAAACTACTGTGAAAGAAAGCAGAAAAATAGAAAAGAAGACTATGGAAAATTTGAATTAAATCGGACAAAAAAATAAGAAGGTAGTAAAATTATGAAAGGTTAATGGACAGTTCTTAAGGGCATTTAAAATTAGCTGAAGTCGCCATGTTATCATGACGTAGTGCCGGAATGCTTTCCCAATATGTTTTAACAAACAAGATGAATACAAAATATTGATTTTCTTAAAAATGCATAAATCAGCAGGGTCAACCCTTTTTAGATGACATATGATACTTTGATTTCCATTATATTTTGAGTACTAGCCCCCAAAAATGACACTTAAGGGAAAATTAATGATACTAATATAAGGTACACGAAAAACGGGAGAACTGTCTGTAAATATAAATTACAATCCCCCTAACCAAATTGCCAATTTAAAATTCCCATAGATGTAGTAATCTCATGGTTTAAACATTTTTAACTCTGTTTTGTATTGGTCCGATTTATTTTTAAACTTTGTTCATTCTGTTTCTCTTTATTTTCTGCTTTCATACAATTAAACATATTAAAAAGGTTGGATTGCCTTTAATCAAATTAAAACAGATGTTGTCTGGAGAGAAAATGTAATAGTTCTTGTAAACAAGATCAAATTAAATATCTACGTATGGAGGATAAGTATTGGTAATGCGATTAATAGAGATAGTGATATTTTCACATTAGGCCTATATTGAAAATGATTAACTTGTTAAATGCAATGTTAAATGATTAAATGATTCAATGTTAAATGATTAGGATAAGCTTACCTCACTTTTCAAAATAAATTGTTTTTCTCTCGTCTTTCCCTCTCTTTAATGATGTTTATTATTATCCTCAATACTATCATTATTTTTTTTCTATATTATTTTTGCTGTTAATATAATTTGATAGCATACTAACATTATTATTAAGAGAATATAATATAAGAGCGAGCAAATTGAGCAACACTCGAAGAGGATAGGTAGATAAAGAGGAAGAAGAAGAAAAAGACGAAGAAGAAGAAGAAAGAAAAAAGAAAAAGAAGAAGAGCAAAGAAAGGAAAAAGAAAAAAAAGAATGAAAAACATAAGGAAGAAGAAGCAGAAACAGACGAAGAAGTCGAAGAAGAGAAAGAAGAAAAAGTTAAATAAGAAACCGAAGTAGAGAGAAAAGTAGGAGACGAAGCTCAAGCAGAGGACGGACAATTGAAGAGAGCCACAATGTCAAAATATTCAAGCCAGTCGATTTCTTCTTTCCCATTCCAACTATCTTTCTCTTTCTCTCTCTCTCAGATTGACTATTGAGATGCAGTTCGGTCAAATATTGTTCTCGAGCTCTCCTAGATGTTGTAGGGGAAAAAATGGTTAAATTACGTACAAAGTTAGAAAGAATCTTCACAGGGACTCACTTCAGGACTCGTACTCTCTGCCTTCAAACAGAAATGCAAGCTCTGCAATAGCCCAATTTGTAGAAAGGAGAAATATGAAGGAAACAGCGAGAGTGGGAGTATGAAATAAATCGGACCTATTACAAGAAAGTTATGAATGTGTTTGAAAATATGAGATCACCTCATCTACGCGAATCTCAAATTCGCAATTTATTAGTTCACTTGATTCTGACGTAGTGCCGGACAACTTTCACATTATTTCCATTGGCGAATCCAGGGGGGGGGGCACAGGGGGAACGTTCCCCCTCCCCCCCCCCCCCCCCCCCCCCTCCGGCCAAAAAATATGTTAAAATCAGCCCTAAATGCGCCCTAAATGCGCCTAAATGTACTCAAAAACAGGAGCGTGCCCCCCCCCCTGCCAAAAAAAATTGTTTACAATTTTATTTTTAAAATATATATACCAATGTCTGATCTAAAAAGGTGACCTTACCCCCCCCCCCCCCCCCTCTCCCCGTACCCCAAAATAGAGCATAATGTTAAATTTTAAAATGTCATGAAAAAAGAAAAAAAGAAAAAGAAGTGTCCTCTTTATTCAGCCGCTGGCTGCGTCGTTGCGATTTTTGGGGGGACTAAAAATATATATACATATGTTCTCTTTCCCACCAGGTGCCCCCCTGTGTGCCCCCCCCCCCCCCGTCAAGAAATTCCTGGATCCGCCCCTGATTTCCGACAGAAAAAATGAATATAATGTCAGTTTTTTAACATGAATTACTCATGAAGGCCGTTTCCTTTACAGAACCTTAATTAATATATATGATATATTTCGAGTAATGGCCCTAAGGTGAAAGCTTTTAGGAGAAAAATAGAAATGAATAACAATTTTGTATACAAGAAATCACCTCAAAATTTCGCTCTTCTGTATCTCATATTTATTTGCTTTCATACGAAATGAACTCAAAAGATGATTTGCACTTTAAATGGGAATATCTCTTTACTTTTTAATGAAGCTTTTAATGCGTCAATGATATATTTTTAGGAAGAAGGAAGAAGGTCCGTGTCCTATTGCGACGCCAAAAGAAATCCAAGGCTTCTTTGGTCAGTAGTAGTGATTTTTCAGTACACAATTTATGTACAACAGTATGGAACATTAATCCCAGACCAAATCAACGACAGGCAATATTACATTATGTAACTCTTTCCGGGCCTTATTTCGAAACTAGATGATTTAGATCAAGGTGTCCCTGAGAATTAAATTCATCTAGATTTCACTTATCATGTTTGTCTGTGTTAAGTTTTATACAGCCTGTTTTTTAAAGTATTTATCGTATTGTATCAGAGCTTCATGCGGTTTTTTACCTTCAATTTGTTGTTAATGAGTTATTTTCTTTCTTTTGTACATGTTCTCTATTTCTCTAATTCCTCAGATCGTTATTTCTTTTTCATCTGTTCTCTATCCCTCGATCTCTTTGCTTCGTTTTTTTTTCTCTATCTTTCTTTGATTTAGCGACATCCTCTTTCATTCACCTTTCCCTCGATTTATCGCTTTCATTTTCTCGCCATGAATAACACACCATTATTTCCCTTTCTGTCAATATCTCTCCCCATTTCCCTTCTGTAGTACACTGCAAAAACCAGGGTGTTAAATTTCTAACACCAGCACGAAATAGAAAAAACCAACACCCTTGGTGTTAATTTAACGTCCGTTCACGTCCGTTCAACACCAACAGAGTGTCGAAATATTTAATTACAGGTTGATGGTCCGAGTCTTGGTGTTATGTTGTTGAAATTGCGCATGCGCAAAAGTTAGTGGATTCGAGCAAAATCATTGGACGACAGTTGTCATACGATATGACGTCGTATCGTGCATGCGCATGCGCGAGCTAGCTGTCAAGTATCTCTTCGGGATACCGTGGTTATGGAATTTTTAATCACGGTCTGAATATCCTATTTCATCAGCGCAATCATACTGTTAATGGTATTACAAAGTTTTGGCATGGGGTCATGAATTTGGTTCAAATTAGCATATTGGAAGCATTATGCGTTCCTACAATATTCATTGATCGTTGTCCCGGTTGAAATCGAGTCTAAAGTTATGAAATTATAAATAATAAACTCTTTAAGTATAGCTCCCTCTCAAGGTCAAGATATCAATTTAGCTATGAAACAATGTTTCTTGACTAAAATCGATCGATTAGCTATTCACGTTTGGAAATTATATATCACAACTATATATTCTGAGATTTTCATGGTCGCAGCTACCATTGTACGGCCGTAGGCGCTACTTGAAATTTATCAAAATTACCGGGAGCACCGGTAAATTTTTATATTCAATTTTTCTCGAAAACAGAAGTGTTTTGGGGGTTAATTTTTTGAGTGCTCATAATACATCCACAGGGGCATCCAAATATATCAAAATTGTAAAATTCACTATTCACCCAATTTTCAAAATTTCCCCAAACTTTGTAATACCTTTAAGTGTGAAAAATTGTTCTGCAGACAGAACAGTTAGAAAATTGCTACCACTTAATCCAACAGACATCGCAAGATTCTTTGAATTTAGTGTTAAATCATTGGTATTGATTTTAACCAAAACAAAATCAGGATTAAATTCTACACACCACTGGTGTTGAAAGAAATGGTGTTGGATTTTGTAACACCAAAACTAGAATTGAACTTTAACATCAAGTTGAAATAATAGAGTTAGATTTTTACACCAAAGGCGGAATTACTTCAACATCAATAGTGGAATTGACTTGTTCCATTCCAAACCCTGGTGTTAAATAACACCAGCTGGTGTTTTCCGATATAGATACCGGGAAAGTGTTAAAATTTAACACCCTTGTTCGAATATATCTCATCAGAATATTGATGTGTTTTGATTTAATTACTAATATTTGTTTCATCTTTCAGAACATTAAGATTTTTTTTAAAATTTTTTAAAGTAGTTAATTGACTGAAGAGAAAACCCCATTTTCCTAAAAACTGAAATAAAAAATAAAAAAGTGAATAATGAGTAAATAACCTAATAACTATGAAAACTAAATCGTTTTTGTTTTACCTTAGAGCAGTTACCGACCCGTTGCTCACAATCGATTCGTCCGAAAACTATTTCGACCAAACTAACAACTTGATCAAACGTTACATTCTGTTCCGGGTTGTTCAAAAAATCGAATTCCTCTCTCATGCCTGCCAGCTCAACCTCCAAAAGATAATTTCCAATTTCCACGTAGTCGTCATCATTGTCGTGATCGTGTATTTCCCTCGATTCCCTGGTCAAGCTCGCGACCGTGATCGCAAGAAAGTTTGTCAGGATGATGAGAAAGAGAATTCTGGTGCACACGGCACCTAGATACGCCATTTTGAATGAAGAACTTTTACTGTGCGCCTATTGGTGTGTTACATGCAACTGCTACGTGTAGTACCGTGTGCAGAATACTTATAGGTGCCGTGTGCAGAATACTTATACGTGCCGTGTGCAGGCAGCGTGAAGACGATCCAAGACATGTCAATAATGGATACTGCAAACAGTCTTTTATTGACACTGAGGCTGTTCACACCGGCAGAGATAGCGCGGTCTAGCGCGCGCTATCTCTGCGGTGTGGAAGGTACAACGTCGTTTCGGTCCGCCCAACAGCGAGCCACGGCGAGCCAAAACGGCGTGCCAGCACTGGAGCACCTCTTGGGGGTGGTCCACGAGAGATAGCGCGGCCTAGCGCGCGATAGAGCGCGCGCTAGACCGCGCTATCTCTGCCGGTGTGAACAGCCTCTAAGTCTGCATCAATCCTACTGAGTAGGCCACGTCAAGCCACGCCCACCGATACATCAATCTCGACCTTTGGACTCCTCATTAAAGGTATTATATTGCTTAGTGTAAGCATGAACTTAATACGGATGGTCATTCAACGTGATTCTTTCTTTCATCCAATCATAGTCGCCGCCTTCTGATTATGTGCATATTAATGAGAACATTCAGCTGTTTTAACAATAACGACTGCGTAAGCATTTTCGGTCATTGACAAAGGAGCAGTTTCCCTCTCTTGGGTTTTGTTTGGATGGTGTGCTCTGTAAGAGTGTGTCTTAAATAAAGCATCCTCAATGGGGAGCAGCAAAGTTGAAAAGCAGACGATTTTGGTGATATGAAATGTATTATTACTGATTCGCAAACTTTCGCACACACATATGACCTTATAAAACATTAAGAAGGCCATGATCTGTATCAGCCCTGTGCGTTGTAACTCTGGAATATTATGAGGAAATAGGGGGAAACGGAATTTTGAATCACAACCCCAAAATAAAAAATAACCTCTATCTGGTAATATCAACATTTTTTCAAAAAAAAATACATGTACAGTACACGGAACAACAATTTCCGATTATAAGCCTGAACTGCACATCTATTTTCCATGATTTAGGCGAGTAATAATATTTTCTGCGCATGTAGATTAAAATGTCTAAAATCACTATCTTGATTCTGTCCCGGCTTTTTTGCCGGCGACCATGATGAGACCAAAAGGAAGAAACATGTACGGAATGTTATTGAGACGACATTGACGGAGACAATCACAATGAATTCGTTAAGAAAACGATGAATGTCCATCCGTAATAGGTCCATGGTGTAAGCTTGCAGAAGCGTCATACATTTGTCAATTTCTCCTGTCGTTTCTGTAATACTCGTAGACCTTTCTTGCTGCGGATCTTCAAATCTTGAAGTTGAATCCCGTAACGTTATGTAAGTTTGTAACTTGAACATGGAGTTTAAAATTTCTCTATGAGATAATAATAATAATAAATTGTTTCTCTTATAGCGCTTTATTCAATTCACAACTGATCAAAGCGCTTTACAAAGCACAAAAATCAATGAATTAAAACTCAACAAAACATATGATAAAAAATGTAGTTAATTACAATGTTAATAGGTGTGTTTTGAGATGTTTCTTAAATACTTCAACTGTCTTCAGCGCAAAGCACAAGGTAACATATTTCATGTAACCGGACCACTGGAATGAAAACTTCGCTCACCTATCTTCAATTTTAGTCGAGGTACATGGAGAGCCCTTCATACATCTGTTCATACCTGTAAAAAAAACAAATTAACATAGAAGATTCATTCATGGGTTGACATATGATTGCAATTTTCTGCACTGTATTGAAAACAGGGAATTTTAAAAGTTCTGTTTCAATTGCACATATTTCAACTAGTCCTGGCTAAATAATACACAGAATTGTTTTCAAAGAACCGTAGGCCGTTAATTTACAAGGGACGCCCCGCTCTTTCATGAGGAAGAAACACGAAAATAGAACATAAGCAGGAGAGGAAAAAGAAGAAGACAGATAAGGAAGAAGAAGGGGGAGTAGACGAAGGAGAAGGAAGAAGAAACAAAATAAGGAAGAAGAAGAAAAACATGAAAGAGTTTCGTTACGATCTTTTAGAACTACTCATCTTTATAACAAGTTCAACTTGAATGGCACTTTTCGTTTAAAAAAGTATCCAACATGATCCTATAACGTCTTTCTAAATCGTTGGCATTTCTAATAACACTTGTCCGTTACCATTGGTGATGAGCAGCCTTTTCACACACTGCTAAAATTCATCGTACCTAGAGATGATTAGTATAAACGTGTTTAACTCAACAGTTTTAAACATGTTTATAGAACATTTTCCCTGTGTGAACATCGTTTATACGATGTTGGGATATATATGAAGTCGCGATTCATACGCCCCTAAAAGCAGGTTGCATATACAAAGTTCGTATCTAGAGAGCTTGACATTTTGTGTGTGAAAGGTTTTTCCTGTTCAAAAATGTTGGGATAGATACGAAGTCGCGATTCATACGCCCCTAAAAGCAGGTTGCAGATACGAAGTTCGTATCTAGAGAGCTTGACATTTTGTGTGTGAAAGGTTTTTCCTGTTTAAAATTGTTAACCCATTGCTTACTGGAACCTGGTGGTCCCTGTGTTAAGCCAATGGGGATTAGATAATTCAGTAGCCAACGGGTTAATCATGGCCATTGTTATGCTTATCATCGTAGTTGGACTATGGAATGAGGTTATCGTGAATCTCTCTCCGATTGTATTCAAAGTAGAACTGTTTCAAATCTATGACAACTAAGCAAATATGCATTGTAGGGTTTCGTGAATCTCTCTCTCATTGTATTCAAAGTAGAACTGTTTAAACAATATGACAAATAAGCAAAATATATGCATTGCCGAGTTTCGTGAATCTGTCTCTGATTGTATTCAAATTATTCAAATTGTATTCAAAGTAGAACTGTTTCAAATCTATGACCAGTAAGCAAATATGCGTTGTCGAGTTCGTTGTATTGATTAAAGGGATCATTTAACCCATTGCTTACTGGAACCGGGTGGTCCCTGTGTAAAGCCTATGGGAATTAGATAATTCAGTAGTCAACGGGTTGACAATGTTCAATCTGAGAAGCACGGCCCTACGTTTTACCAGTGTCTGTGATATGGTGTAACATTGAAGCCCTACAATAATTGCGCTTCAAAATGATCAAGAAGTGCCTCAAAAAATTAAAAAAATCTTTCAGTGACCGGTTTTACTATACTCGTTTTCCCCCAATGGACTGTAGTGTTATGAAAACCGTCCGGCAAACGGTTTTCAAAATTTGTAATTCCAATTATAAATATCTTGATAATCAGACAGGCGATTGGCTTGTAAAAATCATGGGGTTCCTGACTGACCTAAAGGGTTCATAAGTATAATTGCAGCATGAGCTATATCTAGAATTTTGCTTCAGAATCTAAGACAAAGTTACCGGATCCCTTTAATAATAATTGTATTTGCTACATGTCTCGTTTTTTCGTGTAATGAGAGTTTTATAACATAGATCCATTTCTTAAACACAGTATTAGTCTATGCATTTTTTTTAAAAAGTTAAAGACTAAACTTTTAGACACATATAGATGTACATGATAGAATCTCGGTTTGTTTGATTCTCGACTCAATCTCTTTCTCAATCTCCCTTTTCTAGAGCTTTTGTCCTTGTCTTCTACTATTTTCCTCCATTCATTTTTTTTCTTTTCTTTCTTATTCCTCAGTTTTGTCTTCTTTTTTTCCTTCTTCCTAGCTACATATTGTCTATTTATTGATCTATAAGCTTACTTTGTTCATGATTTATTGTAAAATTTGCATCTGAGGAACCAACATTTCAACAAGCTCTGCTTCAAGTTAGTTCCTCTTTTCTCGTGCTATTTCCACTATATTTATCGTTTCATTACATATTTGTTGTGATATAATTATGTTTGTATTATGTTTTGCATGAGAAATAAAAATCAATCAATCAAAAAAAAAATTGATCAATGTCAGTCCGTAGTGTACTCATTTTCGTTTGATTTGCATTCAGAAAGACTGGAAAGTAAAACAAAACGCAGGGAAAAAGTATCATGATTTTCGCAATGTGATGTGTTCTTGGGATTGCGGCCCCAGCAATCAATGACGACTTTGCTCTACAAAGAGGATTGTAATCAATGGAAGAAGAAGAATGAAAAAGACTAACTACCGGATTTAACAAATCACTCTGATCTATGCAGTTTCTTTTCGATATTCCTCACTTCAAGTAAGCAAACAGTTGGCATTGTGTCATTAATCATAATAATCGTTCTGTGTTAATTTGCTACGTGACATGAAATTTCATATAATGGCACATACGTATATAAGTTTGTCAAGGTTAGCAAGTTAAATCCTTTATCAATTTTGATTGCGCTGAAAATCATTGTATTTAAAGAAGATGAGATGGAAAAATTCACATCCCTGAAAGTTATTTTAGTCTGTCATGATTTATCTACTACATCTGAGCCCTGTTTCGTAAAACATGTTGTCAGTAAAAAGTTACCATAACTGTTATAAGGTATTAAAATCGTGACATCTGATTGGCTATGAGCAAATTTGTTAAAAAAATTATGCATTTGTTATGGATAAGAAGTTTTATAATAAAGGACCCTGATGTTTGCATTAAGAAGACCGCGTAATTATATCAGGGGAGAGTTGTAAACAATTTATTAAGCCCATTTATAATTGATATAATAATAATTTTCAATATTTGTCTTCTTGTAATAATAAAGTACATATCTTTCAAATGTATGTAATGATTTTTTCGTAAATATTATTTCATTCCCGAACAGTAAGTAATTTGTTGACACAATTGCATAGAAAAAATGTCTCAAAATTACAAAAAAAATATGAATTAAAAGAGATAGTTTTGTAATTGTAGCATTAACTAATATATTCCCGAATATTTCTTATCATTCCAATCTGTTGTCATATATGCACCAAAGTTAATTTTTACTTTAGATTTTGTTTCCCTAAGTTCGTTGAACATTACTTTTTGCATTTGCCTC